TACAAGTTGCCTCAAATTTGCTACTTGTACGGTACACTTAGACAACTGATAATGAATAAACCTGGGCATATGGAGGCATATTATACACTACAATATAATAATATTTATTAACTTCTGACAAACACTGTATGTTACAATATTTACAAAGTGCTGAAGAAAGATCCTGTGGTGAGCACCAACCTTCTTGGTGCTTGAGAGATGGTGAGTGTTGGCACATTATTAGGGAGAGCAGGAACGGTCAGCTGATCTTGTTCTGTAAACAAGAGTCCAGGAATATAATACGACACAATAACTCATTTGGGATTTGGGGGGAATTGATTATTGTAAAATAATATTTTATTAACCTGGCACCAAATGAACCTAAATAATATGGGAATTATGGTGAAATTGTATACTGTCATTATAAAGGGATCATGGGCTGATGAGCATGAGAAATAGTTGTCCCCTCAGTCCACCCAGCACTCCCTCCACCTTCTTTCCTTTGTATTTTTTATTCACTCCCATTCTTTACATGCAAACCCTCCATTTTATAGAACTGAATAAGGTTTTCTGAACTTTAATTTTTTTTATGTTGGAACACTTGTGTGATTTAAATGTCTGCAGTGAGGTATGCAGTACCTGTACAGTAGACCCTCACCAACCACGGATTTCTAATCCACAAATTTTGGGTATCCATTGTCTTAACTCTGTATATCATTTCACAAACCACGTCATTGAATTTTGAGTATCCGGGGATTAGTGTGGCATCTTTATCCCTCCGCGGTCTAATGTATCCCTTTATGTATACTCGTACGTGAGGAATGAATAAAACTAATACTGTACAGGTGCTCCTTTACTTAAGAACGTTCAACTTACAAACTTTCAGAGATACAAACATCATCACTGAGGGGAGTTACTTGCCAGAACAGGTGTTTAATATGGATGAGACTGGATTATTTTGAAGAAAATTCCAGATAGAACAAACATTACCCAAGAGGAGAATAATGAGCCAGGTTTTAAGGCTGTACTAAAGGGTATAGCTGCACTAAATATTCATAATCTTTAAATTTTTTACAATATGTTTGGTACAATATGTTTGGTATCTACAAGAGTAAAGTTGGACTTACAAACAAGCCTCAGGAACGTAACTCATTCGTAAGTAGAGGAGCACCTGCACTAATAAATAAAATAAAAATAGTGCATTGCCAATCGTTTCATTAAGGACATGGAAGACAGGAGCGTGCTTCCTCCTCCCATGGTTGTAGGCTAACTCCAGCAGACATAAGAAATATTTATTCTCCTTACGTTTTCGACCTTATGATAATCATTTCTTTTATTTATTTTACACATTCTGTATGAATGATTGTACAGTACTGTATGTGCATGTAACAGTTAAAAAAAAAATATGTATATCTACCAGAAAATACTCGTTGAAAAATAACAATAACACAGCTTGACCTGGTAGAGGGAGAGCTAGGAGATGTAGCTACAGGGACAGTCTAATTTGGCAACATGCCAAATCTACACACTCGTTCACTTCACACACTTACACACCCATGCTATTAATTTTTCTTATTTTACTTCTATCTTCTCCATCACTGATCGGCTCGTTAGCCACTTGGAAGATCGGTCACGTCTCTGTTACGTACTGTTGGCAAGTACTGAGCATGCACTGGCTCCTCAATGAATCTGAACTTGCTCTGGTCTTGAAAGAGCTCACACTTAGTGCCATCATAACACTCTCTGGCAGATTGTTCCAAAAGTTCACAATTCTCACTCTGTAAAAGTTTGCCTTCACAGTTTTCTGGACATGTGGCTTCTTCAACCTTGAGCTGTAACCCCATGTGGGGCATGCGACCGCCAGCTCCAGGTATGGAGACTCGACCAAGTACAGTACTAGTGCCCTCTGAGATGTTTATAAACTTCAATTAGGTCATCCCTTGCCCATCTGTAGTATAAGCTAGGCAGTTAGAGCACCTCAGTTAGGTGAAGTAGCACAGGCACCAGTCTGGTGGCCCTCCTTTGGACATTTTCAATCAACTGGGTATCTAGGATATCTCAGGAACCAGGCGGGGTGACAGTCCTCCAAATGGGGATTCACCTAATGCTGCAGCACTTCATAACCAGTGTAATTCTTGACGACCACATCCAAGATAAATTACTCTATCTCATTTTGAATAATTTTTTGTTTGGTTTTTAGTTTTTTGTCAAAGCAGAGTAACATTTAGAATTGAAGTAATCAAAGTGACATTGTGTGAGAGGTGAGCAAATATAATTTTCTTTGGATTTTTCACTTCACTAGCCATAATTGTATACTATAATCTATAAGATATATTAAGATATCTAGCTTGTTGTATTTCCTATAACATGATTCTTGCCTTATTTAAATTGTATTAAAATGCTGGTCAAGTTAAATGTAAGAGTAAAGAGTTCATTTGTACACTAGTGCAGTTGAGATATGAGTAGAGAGTGTTTGATTAACTTAGCCAATGTCACTTATTATAATAACCTTGTTTTGATATTTCTTACATTATTTACCTAATAGCCCAAAATAATACTACAAATTAGTTATAACTTCTAAGATTGGTCCCCAGAGTTTGGTAATTTTGTTCAAGTTGAATGTTCTTTTGTTATTTTTCTCATCTAATATAATGTGTTGGACTATACAGGCTCTGCTAAGCAAGAGAGCAAAATACGGTAACCTGAATTAGATCAAAACTGCACTGAAACTGTACATTCTCTCTTATACTCAGCTACAGTACTAGGAAAAACAAATTACTATTAGAAATTTTAAGAATCCACACAGTGGACAATCCGCAATTGTCAAGGTCAATGTTTATGGCCTCATCAATCTTTTTAGCTCGATTTTTTCTTTTTTAAACTTACTGTGTATACTAATTTATAAAACAAGATACTTAGTAAGGAATTATTGCACTGTACCAGGAAATGATAATACAGGTTTTAAACATACCAGGAGGATAACACAATACTGTACCTGTAATTTTTTTTTTCCAAATTAAAACATAATTGACCCAAATAATTATACTACTAGAGTGATGATAGCAAATGCCATGGCATTATATTAATTATGGTATTGTCATTTGTTTAAGTGCTGCATCTGCCAGTCATTATTTAACCATCATTCCCTAGTCAATAGGTTTTATAACAATCAGTTTTTTAATTAAAATTTAAATGGTCTTCATTAATGTTAAATGTCAGATTTCTTTTGCATACATTATATTTTTTGTGGATCTTATACCAAATTTGTATTACTTCACTTTAAATCAATTTACAGTACAGTATGTGGTACAGTATAATTATTTGGGCACTGGCAGATTGGTTATTGCACGAGGCTGTGGCAGTCAATTGGTTTTAATCTTTATTGAGGAGGAAATGTGTGGTTGATATCTGCTGTGAATTGGTACTACTGTAGTAATATACAGTAAGCATATCTTTATTGACTTGTTATAAAAACTCAACTTATTTACAAATAGCCAAACTATAGAAGATACAGTACTGTATATACAGGACATATCCTATCTCCACCTGCCTTTGGTATGTGATGCAAAGTCCATATGGCTGCCACCCTGGGATGACTTGTAAATTGTGTTGTCTAATAGTTGAGCATAGTTTGAACATAGGTCACTTTTTATGCCACTTACTGTTTGAGTACAGTACAATATATGGAAGGTATACTACTGTGTGTGTAACACTTAATATTTTGTATGATAACCTTTCTTCTTTAAAAATTTTTGGCAACTGACAAGCACTGAGTGGTAGTGGTAGTGCTTGTAGCTGTGTTTATACTGTATTTTAAGGATTTTTTCTGTAAAAGTTTTATATGAGGATCCACTAATCCCCAGACTCAAAGTACATGTGCAGGATATTACCATACAGTACTTCTATCTAACCTGGCTTTCCATATCATAAACCTACTCTACTCCTAACATAAACCTATCCTATAATTAACTCCTTACCTATTCATCCCCAAACATAACATAACCAAACCTACATTTATAGTACTGTATGAAAATTCAAGTCTAGGTCTGGCGATTAGTATTATTGTTATTCATAGAAGTTATGAAAATGCCACACAATATGTGTGAATAAATTTGTACAGTACAGTACGGTGTGATTGTAGTGCAGCACTGTACATTGTTTACTGCATGGTGAAATTTGTGCCTCAGTCTTTGCTATGTGATGAGGAAGCTTCAGTAAACTGAATTATGCATGAACATTGATCGTGATAAGTCAAATACTTTATGTGGTAACTGCAAGATACCATTTGTCACCATATAAAACAAGGTCAGTATATGCCAGAAATTTGTTGGTTATGTCTATTATTCAAAGGACACTTGAAGTCAGAGAAAGGTATGTTATGAGGTAAGTTACCCAAAATTTAGCTTTTAGTGACACTGCTACTTGGCTTCTGTTCAGTTTACATTGCATACAACTAACAGCTATAAATGTACAATGTTATTTTCAGTCACTGTACTATGTGTTTTCCTTGACTCTGACAAGAGCTACATACACAGTTTTTGAAAATGACAAAAAATTACTAACACTACAGTACTTACAAAATGACAAAAGCTACTAACACTACTTACAAAATGACAAAAGCTACTAACAATACTTATTAGAATTGATTATATTTTACTATGCTTTTTTACACAGACATGAAATGATGGTTTGATTTCCTGTTACTGCCAAAAATTTGTTGACTTGTGACTTTGTGAACCATTCCTCTGTGTGTTCCTTGATCTGTCTACAGTATTATGTGAAGCTTCTTATGCTTGTTGTCTCACCACACCTTGTCTTGGGAAGGTTGCTGGTCTTATCTTTGAACTGCCCAATTCCCTTTACATTCTGTACCTTAAAAAAGACACATGTACTTTTGCAAACTAAAGTGAATGTTGCATTTTGTGGAATAAAATAGATGAATTAATATAACTATGAAATCAAAACAGTAAGAGAGTTAATCAGATTTACTCCCCCTATTTAATACACACTTTCTTTCACAGGATCCATTTATGATGCTACAAAGAGCTATGATGTCTCCTTCTATTCCGCTGGTGGACTACTGTTTATCTGCGCCGCTCTTCATTGTATTGTTCCATTTGTCCAACGACGCTATTGTCAAAATGACATGCCGGTAATCTATTTTTATATCTTGTTCATAATTGCTGTAAATAAACTTTCAGACTTAATAATTTAGAGGAAGATTAATATATGTATTGGTTAATGTAATGATTTAAGTACAGTATCTTTAGTGTTTGAAGTTAATTTTTCTCTTAACATACATCAGATTATTTCTTCTACGGTATTTATCCTACATTTATCAACTTATTTTTCTAAACTATATCACTTTCAATGATTATTATTATTATTATTATTATTATTATTATTATTCCCTGTTTAACGGAGTTGAGTGAATATACTTTACAATACCATACATCACGAGTTCTATTAGTCTGGCTGACTTTTGTTTTCAAAGCATAACCAATAAAGTGTTTGAAAAATTTTAATAAAATCTCAAAATACTAAACTGGCGATAAAGAGATACAGTACATCATGCTAAGAAGGATATTAAAGGAAAACTACATTCTACCAAAATTTTGAGTTTGGTCAAAATTTCACTATACTGTTGGTACTTTTTAACATGTTGATTCAGAGACCTGGAGTCAAAACTTTGTAAATTTGGCAATTATTTTTCTACAACCATCTCAACACCTCTGGCCAGTGAATGATTCTTTGAAACTCTGGGTGAAACAATAGGTAGGTGGTTTAGCTGCCACAATGCTTGAATGAAGAAATTAAATTTTTTAAGTTGATTATAGTTGTCTTAAAAAGTGCTGAAGAAGGGATGGTGGAATAAATACAGAGATAGAAAATCAAGAGAAAACAGCATAGTGAAAAGAAAGGTTAGATTTAAAGGTGAGTTGGAGAAATTTCATGTCAGAATATTTTTAAAACTTGTCAGAGTATCACATGTGCATACAGTATCTCTTAATTATCCTGTACAGGGCTGTATTATTGAAGTGACAACATTAAGAGTTTGTTTTATATATGCAGGTGCGGTACACAACAAACGAAGAATACTTAGCATCTGTGCCGGAGGAGGGAGAGAGTGAGGCGGGTGTGTCACCAGATACAGGTGAAGGAATTGGCATTGTACTCGACATTAAGCCCAAAGATTCTACCATCATCCTCCAAGAATCAGGAGAAAACAAGATTATTCTTGATGCAACTCAGAATGAAAAAGGAAAAGAAACAACTGTTTTATCTCTGTGAGTCTAGACTACGAGTGCTTGAAAATTGTAGTTGGTCTAATTGAATTGACCTTTCAAAGAAATTTACAAGCTTCAGAAAGTAATCTTATGTTCCTAGAATATATTGTAAATTAATCTCACACAGAAAAGAAGACAACCAGTATGGACTTGCCTATACGTACTTGAATATTGGTAAAAAATGAAAATGGTTGCAGTCATTTATGAACTCCAACTAACTTAAGCTTTTAATTTTCAAGTTCTTGTGTGATTGTTGATGCTGGTCTTTCAATTTGTATAGTTATAATAAACATTGGACAATTTGCCAACATGTAGAAAACTCTTTGTGACTATCTGTAGCAAAAAAGGGACTTCATGAAACTGTTGTCATAAAATATTTTTTTTTTTCTTCATAGCACTGACATGTCACATAAACTATGATTTTTGTAAATCACAGAAATTTAGTTAGCTGTTACTCGTGTATATCACCTCATAGTCATTGACACCCAGTCCCCATGCTAGTAGTGGAAATACTTACTCTAGAGATTATTGTGAATGGCCATTGGAAAAAGGATTTTGTTTAAGCTACACAGACAAAGGTTAAAAACATTCCAATGAACAGTCTTTGAAGATGGCTACCTGATCTAACAAATATTTTTCTGTATATTTTTCTTAATTAGATTTGTTATATGAGTGAGTTGTGATTGAAATTATTTATCATGAACCGGTCACATGACGTACAGTTTGAGTTCTTTTGAAGATGTAATACAAATAAACAGTTATTATGTATGCTGAGGTGTGTTGTAAAGTGTAATTGATATCCACAGAACCTGCTTTTTCTGCAGTCACAACAACTAGTGTGAGAGGCAGATTATCTCCTGCAAGTTTAAAAGCAGCTTAGAAAATAAGTCCTGGTCACTAGACCCTTGCTGTATGCCATAGTCACTTGTGCACAGTTAGACACCATGCATAGCTTGATCTTGTGGAATATAGTTAGAAACTGCACAAAAACAGAGAACCTCTCCGCTAAAAGGAAATTAATATCTATTATGTGGCAAACTGTATGTTAATAGCTCGAGGAACCTGGCACAATACTGTACAGTTTTATGCATAAAAACGTAAGTATTTGTCAGTGGAGGCACTTGATGCTGGTTGTTGGATAGGCAGTGTTTTGATCCCCAGTTCTGTAGGTATGAGTGCAAAGATGCCTATGTGTTTACTACTTGAATAAAGGTTGGGGTCTAAATGTTAACCCTGTAGGAACCTCCAAGAGTATCGAGTGTGCTTCCAGGTCTGGTCAGGATTGCTCGAGTAGTTAGCACATAACAATACGAAGTAAGTGGGAGTTGGGAAATGGATCATGGATAATATATGTCTCATTTATTTTTACAATAGAGAGCATATGATGAAACTTACTATTAGCTGTTTATACAGTACTGTACATCTTTCTTTTTCATCATATTCAGTTGTACATAATTAACACAATTTTACTGCGTTCCTGTTATTAGCTAGTTTTTAATTCTGTGTAATGTTTTTTATATGTTGAGTTGTTTTTATATATGTAATAAATAGCTTTTATATTAGCTTTTCCCACATCACACACAGTTTTAAATACATGTTAAGGGTCTTCTTCCCAAAGATACTCTGTCAATAGTAGAGCAAGCATGTAAGGCAGATATAGAAATCCATACCCCTGAGAAATTACCAAAACAGTACACTGCTATACAGTATATATATATATATATATATACAGTATATATATATATATATATATATATATATATATATATATATATATATATATATATATATATATATATATATATATATATATATATATATATATATATATATATATATATATATATAATCACTGTGTCCTATACTTCTTAGTAAGTGAAAAGGAGAAATAAAAATAAAAATTATCTACTTAATGAAAGCAAATTAATTCCAAATATTTCAAGATGATCATTAAAGTGTCACACTTATGATTCTCAAAGATTTAGTGTTTTTGTTTTTCTTATAAAGACAAATGAGAGGACACCTCCAGTTACAGTAGAGTTTCAGTGCCACTTTTGCTGCTGTCTTCTTCTTGTAGCGTAATTGGACGTACTCTCATGTTACCAGTTACTGTACAAGGAAAGTGCAATGTACGATCTCTTGAGGATCTGAGACCAGAAGTAATATCCTTCATGGCTATACAACTAAAATCTGTCGACTTGCTGGTTTGTTGTGAAGTATGTGAATGTATTTTTACACAAAAGCAGACTAGTATGCATAATTTATTTTTTCCCAAATTAAACTACAATGATAAGTATCACATTGCAAAGACTTGTAATGATAGTACTGTACCATACTGTACAGTACACAGAATGTTTTAACTTTGGTTTTAAGTAACAGTAATAATGTCAAGTGTAATTTTTCTTTTGTGGAAGAACATAAACAATAAACAGTAAACAAGTACAGTATATGACTTTGGTAAATCCCTTATATCTGGTTGTTTAACTTAAAATATTTTGTTTGTTTGTTTTACGATCAAGATGCTTAATGAGGTGCGCTTTTTAATTTAATTTTTTTTTATCACTTGCCAGCTTACTATTTGTTCAGGTATTTGGTCTGTTCTTTCTTACTTTATTATCCATGGTTATTACAGAAGGAAACTGGAGTACCCAGAGAAAACCTGTGATGTTTGTAGGCAGACCCTTAAAATCCTGTTGCAGATGCATGGATGAGTAAAAGGTCTCCAGCAACTGGAAAAAGGCATGTGTGAGTCCTATTTAGTATTCGAAGAAGATCATCACTGCATGAATCATTCTAGGCCAGTAAATTTAGCCAGCGTAGTGTGTAAAGTAAAGTACAAGTATCCCCCGATTTATGATCTCCCTATCTTCAGTATTTTGCTTGAATGATGGTGCTGTATAAAGACCACCTCCTATTTACAATAAAACAAAAATCACAAACGATAGTCATCATGCTGCCACCGCAGAATATGGAACATATCTCTTGGTGCACTTGTCAGCTGCAGTCTATGTACACACCGCCACACGGCCACATGGTGCACTACAGTCCCACACTTTGTTCCATGGTGATCGCACATGCCCGTGGTCATGGGGCTCAATGATATCAGTCAGTATCGGTGTTGTTACTTATCATCAGTGTTTTTTGTTTTTTTACCTTACAGTGAGAGGACATCACTGACATTTACATTGTACTTTGTTTTGATGAGTAAAATGATTTTTATTATGTTTTTGTGATTGTAAAGAGCCTCTGTTGTTGTGAACATGATGTGAGCAGTGTTGGCCGCTATCATTGTTTTAACATTATCATCGTTCACTCTGTTTTTGTGACTGAAGTGAACAGTGTAACTTTGAAAATGTCTGGGAAGGCCAAGGCACCCAGGAAAACTGTTTCTCTGGAGGTGAAGCTTGACATTGTGAAGCTGCGTGGGAGTCAGAGTGAAGTCTCCACTCCACCTTGAAGGGGACATGTGATGATGACCAGGCATGTTCATAATGATGTGGTGAGTGTTGTTTAATTGTGTTGTAGGAATTTTTTCTACGGTGATTCATGTGGGTGTTGGACTGGCTGGGAACATATACCATTGAACCCCATGTTATAATGATCCCAATTTATGATATTTTGACCTTGATGAGTTTTACAGGAACGTAACCCCATCGTAAATACTGTAGGGGGATACTTGTACTCGGGAGCAGGGCCACTGAGAGCTGACCAGGCTCCCAGGGAAAGATAAATTTGTGCCCCCCCCCCCCCTTTTAGCCTTTGAACAATTTGGAACTATATGACACTTTTTTCTATATATAGGACCTATTTCTAGCATTCCATTTAATTAAATTAAACTACTTTACAGATATACTTAATATCTATAGAGGGTTCCCCTTTTCCTGAGTCCTGGGGATTTATCCCAGTTTCCTCGCTCTCTCAGCGGCCCTGCTAGCGAACATTATACAAGGTGCCATGATGGAACATTCACTATGAAACAACTTTGTAAAGGAATGCCCAACATGGTTTTATGCCTGGATGCTCCTGTTTGATGCAGTTACTCAGGTGCTGGATGTGTGCCAAGGCTTTCAACAGCATTCTCCATGAAATAATGGAAATTAAACCTCGAAGGGTACGGAATTAGGGATAGTGTTCTAGTAAGGATCGAAGACTTTCTTCATCACTGCAAACAAAATCATCATGTGTACTTGTGACTAGTGGAGTAACATTGTTGTTTGTTTGCTTCATAAACAAAATACCAAAAGCTATACGCTCCTAAATTCAAATGTTCATGGATGATGCCAAGTTATTCAGTGAAATTAAAAACCAAACGGATTGTGAAGTGCTATAGAAAGATCACTTTCAGCTTCGGGAGTGGTCAAAGGAATGGCTGTTAAGATTGAATGCACGAAATGCAAAAAGGATGCACCTAGGTTGTGCCAACTGGACAAAGAAACATCATTGACTGAGACCAAATATGAAAAGGACCTGACTGTGTATGTTGACAACAAACTGTTCGTAAACCACTGTGAGAAAAAGTGAATCAAGTAATTAAGCTAGTAGGTCTTATAAGACGGGCATTCACATACCTAGACAGTCACTCTATCATAAGTGAAGTGCTTTCCCATTTAGAGTACTGTCACCCTGTCTGGTCCCCAAGATATGCTAATGATTGTCAATTGAATGGAAACGTCCAGAGCAGGGCTTCCAGACTGTTGCCTGCACTATGTCACCTCAGTAACCCAGAGATTAGAATGTCTGCAGTTGCTTAGCTTATACTACTGTATAGTCAGGCCAGGACAATCTTAATAGAAGCCTATAATCACCTCATTCAAATATTCATACCTGAAACCTGCCCTCTGTGCAACACAGCTTAAGGCTCAAGAAGTCACAACTTCAGAAAAATATCAGTGCAAACTTTTTTGGAATGAGTGGTATAAACTCTTGGAATTAACCAACGCTGGTATAGGCACACATACATTCTGGAGCCAGTACTTGCCAACAGTATGTAAAAGAGATGTGACTGACTACCCAAGTGGCTAACAAGCGAAGATGATAAAGTAAAGTCACATTTGATAACAACACCCTTCTCACATCTCACCTGGGCAGGGAACTGATCCCAGGACATGATTGTGAGGGGTACACACCTTACCACAGGACCACCAACACCCCAAAAGAACAGCCTGTATTATTTCCTGTTGCATTAAAAGGGTCACAAGAATAAAAAGCACGTGGACAGTTGGCAAGACAGAGCATGAGGGGTAAATACTGTATTGAAGGTGTATTATATCTCAACGTTTCTGAAATAATTGCAGATGATGGAATTGGTTTAAAAAAAACCAGAAGCATACTGTATTGTGTTTCCATAACTCCACTATGTTATCAATTGTCACCATCAGTTGTTGAATTACTACATAACAGTTTCCTGTTGATGTGTGCCAGTTATGTTGAAGGTAATGTATCTTGATGGTATTACACTATAACATGGAGGGATAATTCAAAAGACAAGGAAAAAAACAGCTCAAGGTACCACAATAAATGATACTACACTATGAAGAAGATGCAAGGAAATTGATTATAGAGTACCTAGTTTAACTTGACCTCGTACAAGTCAATTCCGACTCAAGGTTTACCAAGCTGATGCACAACACCAGGGAAAAATATCCAGAAAATGTTTAAGGATTTTCTGATCACTTTGTTATAAGTGAATACAGTATAGTCTCGTTTTACGCGGTCAATTAAACCCATGGAGGTCCGCGTATACGCGAAAAGCGTAAACGAAATAACAGAACATATGGATTAATTAAAATAGAGACTGGGCCGACCGCCAGACTACCCTTTTTCCGACACAATACGTACGTTGTAGTAAAAATAACATCTTAATTTATGATGGTATGCATACACAATTAATATTTAAAAGAAATATCAATAATATTAGGTTTTTTAACACTTACGTGAGTAGAAGAGATGGCTGGGCACATGGGGATGAGGGGTTGGTTCCGAGGCAGAGGGCAGATTATTGGCCCTCACCTGTATCACATGTATCACCTGTATCACTATCCACCACAGAGGCTAGCAGGGCCTCCTTGTCAAACCCCTCAAAGTCCATATCCTCACAATCACTATCACTATCATTGAATTGGGCTGGCTGTGGTGGGTGGCGGGTGAAGAACTCGGTAATGTTTTGTTGACTGGGCAAGCAAGGTTAAATAGACCAATCACAGCTCGCGGCGGAGGAGATGCGTGGGTGGTAAGGATGTGTGGCCCAATCACAGTTCGAAATATCATCTGACGTCAGCGGTGACGTAAGAGCGACCTAGCGCACAGCTTGTCCGCGCCGCTTCCCACGTAAATTCAGGAATGTACCGCTTAACTAATAATTGGCGTGTCTGGACAGGTGCCGAGTAAATGAACAACCGCGTAAGGAATAAAATGTTGTCAATGTCAAGGGACACCTCAGACCTTGGCAAACTTTGGTACAGCATATACTTTAAGATATGCTGATGCACTAGGTAATACACTAAACTCGAGTATCTGGTACTAAACAAAGTAGAATTCTCAAAAAATAAATAAATAAAAAAAAAAAATCAAGGAAATAAAAAAGCCACTCAATGAAGTTATGAACTATTAACATAAAAATAAAAATGTACAGAAGAACAGGGAGTCAAAGGTGGGCTCTGGAAGGTCCGTCGTTAATGTATTGTGTGAAACTTGAAAATGTGATGTTTCGAGTTTGTAGGGGATGTACGAAGCCAAATGTTTTTGTTGAAGTTGTCCATTGAAAAATCACATTTTTTTTCCTGTTTTACTCCAAGGCAGCTCGTGCGCTGATTGACTGAAATTTCTTATGGTGCTGTATAGTGATATTTTTTTTTATACAGTATTTGCAACTCGAGGGGGCTAGTTTATTGGGCACCCCCTTGTCATCCTGTGCAAGGTGAAGCACAAAAGCGGTTACAGCGCCCATCTGGGAAGCATGCTTTGTTCATGCTTGCAGCTTGCCTTCATGACTTGTGCATTAAGGGCATAAAAGCCTTTAGGATCATGGGTTTCGTCAGCAAGTTACATAAAGTGACAGAAAGATGAGTGTGTGTGGGGAAAATTCCCGGTACAATTCATTTGTTTATGGCAAAGCGTGGCAGGTCCCTAATAATGTCAAGTGCCAGGCCTGTCGCTAGGAGGAGGGATATCTGGTCAGGGAGGGAAGAGGTGTTGGTAACAGGGTCATCAGTGGTTTGTAAGTAATAAAGTCAGGAGTTTGGGTAGGGTCCCTGGGAGCAGAGACTGGGGTGTCGGGCATTGAGGTCCCCCACAAGGAGGGTGGGGGTGGAGGTGATATGGTGTGGTAGGACGGGTACAGTAGAGGTGGAGGGAAGCACATAGGTATTGGCAATATTGAGGGACATACCTTTTAGTGTGATTGTGATGGCGTGTACGTTGGTAGTGTTGGCATCAAGGGGGACGTCGAGAGGTTGGTAAGGGACATCCTTCTTAGCGTAAATACATAGTCCACGTGCATGTCCTCATAGTGGTCCATCGATGCAGAGAACAGGAGTGGATGGGTCCCAGGTGCCTGCATGCCGGTGGGGGACAGGGAGGTGTCCTCAGGTCCAATAAGAGTTCTGGTAGAGACAGCTCAGAGACATGAACAGGCGCAGGGTAAACCGGGGCAGGCCCGGCAGGTGCCACGCCAGCAGTGATGCCAGGCGGCAGTGGAGTAGGCCCTGAGCATGAAGGGCACACGGGGGGCTACCAACTTATGTCAAACCAGAAGAGGGGAGTGACTGGGTAGCAGCTGAGGGCAGGGGTAGTCGGTGTCGGTCGGAAATGGCGGAACAGAGTGTATCAAAGACTTTTTCAACATGGTTGGTAAATTCGTGGAAGAGGGATATGATTTGTGTAGTGTCACTGGAGGGGGGTTGTGGGAGGCATTGGTGGGAGCACAAGACCTGACAGCATCAGAGTAGAGACGGGGAGGAGGCCCAGTAGTAGTTGAGTTAGGAGACGGCCGGGACTGCTGTGTTGCAGCCAGGTGAGGCCAGGCAGAGACAGGTGTTGTTGAAGAAGGAGGCGTTGCTTGAGACAGAGGGGGACGCAGAGGGAGGCGCCCGGTATTTTGGGGGAGGAGTTTGCGGTTGACGCAGCCTTCGGGGAGGCTTTTCCCCTGGGACAGACAGGCATTTGGGGCATTGCCGTGAGTCAGCATTGCGGTCCAACGAATTACCCAAAAGTACCCAAAAGTATATTAAATCAGGGTAAAATCTTAATGAATATATGTTTTACATCAGTAAAACCTGATTAATAATGTTTTCATTGAAATGTAGTCAAAATAATGAAATAATAAACAGCGAAAAACGCTAAATTCCAAAGAGTCACCTATCCAAAATGGAGATATAATTACCGATGTTTCTGTTACTTTGGGGTATTTAACATAGCCGTAGGATTTACTTTTCGTTAGGTTAGGTTAGGTTAGGTTAGGTGCATCACGATGGATCTGAGTTATCTCCCTTGTTCACGAACTCTTTGGAATTTAACGTTCGCCAATACTGAAAGTTTTTCGCTGTTTATTATTTCATCTTACAAATTATTTTTACAAAATTACACTAAAAATATTATCAAATATGTTTTGTGTATGTATAACAGATATTCGTTAAGATTTTACCCTTATTTGCTATACTTTTGGGTACTTTAGGGTAATTCGTGGCTCCCTCAGCATTGTGCCAGCCACCACAATTACAACACCTGGGGTCAACAACATAGCCCACACCAACCTCATTGAGGTGGTCTTTGATTTTCTGGGCACAGACGGAGGAGTGATGGTTACGTGCAGAAACGACATCTTGGACGATCACGTCGGCGCAGTTGGTGAACATGTGACCCCAATGGGAGCCGATGGCATAAAAAGCAGGCCCGGGGTGATAGGTTTCTGCTTGTGGAGTCTTCCCCCGGTATTGTCGACGTATGCTGAGTATACGTGGGTTAAAGTCACGAGCTTCTTCGACTTCAGGGGGAATTGTTTAACTAGGATGTGGTAACATTTAGCTGCGTCAACTGATGGAGGCTCAAGGACAACCCCGTCAAACCCAACAGTACTAAGTGTTTCAAAGACCTTAGGTGTCTGACACTTGATAAAGTTACAGTTCTTACCTTTTTGGAATTGAATGGTGAGACCGTGTTGTCTCCAATACTTTGTTCTCCAATTAAACCGGTCCTCGACGGTTTTCAGTGAGTCCTTGGGGAAGTGCAGATTCAGCTTACTTGGTTGGTTGGAACTCGGCAGAGGGGAGGGTGGCGAGGGGGGTGGGGCTTGCTGCCCTTGGCATTGGCGTTGCCACTCCGGCAAGTGTTTCCCATAGAAACATTACTGTTACTGTCACAATCACTGAGGTCTGATTCTTGCAGGGTGTGGGGTGCACTATGACTATCGTATCAGAAATGTCTGTATCCATGAGAGAGGGGATGCCTTTTCTGGGGCGTTTACGACCCCCCCCCCCCCCCCCTCCCCATCGCTGGCAATGCTTGCCTGCGGAAGGAAGTTGGTAGACACTGAGGTGGCCTTTGTGTAACGATCGGGAGAATAGGAGCACCTATGGTCACACATCTGTCCTCTTACGTGGTCAAACCGCGACTGCTGCTATAGTCATAGACTGTGATAGACTTCGGGAATAGGCACCTATGTCGGTAAGACAGCGTCTGTCTCTTTGATGCTGACCTCAGTGACAAATGTTCAATATCCTAGGAGCCCCCAAGGAACTATTAATAGAGCGACAATTTTCTTTTTACTTTTACTTTTATCCTCTTCACAACTGATTGGCTCGTTAGCCGCTTGGGCGATCGGTCACGCCTCTGTTACTTTTGTTTTTCTTTTATCCTCTTCGCCAAATAATTGGCTCGTTAGCCGCTTGGGCGATCGGTCACGCCTCTGTTACTCACTGTTGGCAAGTACTGGACATGCACCTGCTCCTGAATGTACCTGAACCCGCTCCAGTGTTGGTCAAGTCTGTTCTTGGAAGAGCTCACACTCGGTGCCGTCACAACGCTTTCTGGTAGATTGTTCCAAGAGTTCACAACCCTCACTCCGAAAAAGTTTGTCCTCACAGTTTTCTGAACCTGCGGCTTCTTCAATCTTGAGCTGTGACCCCTTGTGGGGCGAGCGTCCGCCAGCTCCAAGTAAGGACACTCGACTGAGTAGTGCCCCTTGAGATGCTTATACACCTTAATTAGGTCGCTCCTTGCTCGTCTGTAGTATAAGGTAGGCAAGTTCAGGCGCTCCAATCTCTCAGGGTAGTTGAGGTGCCGAAGTGGACGATCATGTGAGGAGACTTCAATTCTCAATTAAAACTAAATTGCAATCCCAAGACCTTCCACTACAATAAGAATTACCTTATGAAAATTAAATTAAAATTATCTCATATAGTATTAATTACAACCACACAATTGTAATTACATTTAAAATAAATTGCAATAACTTCAAGCCTGGCCAGTCCTTGTTTACATGACCCCAATTCAGAAGTAACTCGTTATCTATGTCATTTGGATTTTCACCGGATAGTAAAAGGTCACATCATCATTAAATAAAACTTATCAATTGACACTAATGAGCATACCATTTCAAATAGCAAACGAAAAACAATTGTCCTATAAGAATTTTCATATACATAGTACGTACTAGAAATAATAATTAGACGACAAAAATGTTTGCTAGTGGTAGCCATGTATCAGAAGAAGTTGATAGCAGTTAACAGTAAGACAAAGATAAGTTAATAAATGTGATGAGATACATGTGCCAACTTTCCTCACCAGGCTAAACTTACGCTCGCTCAAGGGCACCATCAGCTGGTCCCTCTATAAACAAACTTAACTTAGCAGAGTTTATATTTAGCGTTTTAATGTAGTAGGGATCTTTAGAACAGTTTTCAATAACTTCTTTCGATTCTATTACAGTAAATATTTATTAATATTTAGTTACTTATTAAATTGAGAATAACTTGTTCAGATTTTTATAAGAGTGAGTATGTATTTTCCTCCCCCGTGAAATGTTGAGTTGAGTGGCCATGAGTGAGAGAGGATCCGAGGAGCCTTTGTGGCGCACCAAGAGGATCTAAATGTTATAAAGGGTTTCCAACACCTTCATGGCGGACTATCGATCCCTGAATGTTGTCTTAAATATGGGTTGGGAATGGACAACTCTCCCTTAAACCAGGTAAGTAAATATCATTAATATATTTAAATCATTATAAAATATGAAGAACTCCTTAGAACAAGAGAATGTTTAGGTGGTAAAGGTGCAGTAGCTGTTGGACTGTGAGTTATAATTGGTTTATTTATGTCTGAGGGCAAGAACATGTTACACCATTAACAACACAAATATTACTGGATACTATTAGTGTCTGCCAACGTGTACCCCAGCTACTTGAACACTTATTCACGGTATGATATTTATTATTTAAGAATGATAACCTATTGCATCAGAAATTGTACTAAAGGAGAAACAGTTCAGTACATGAGTGTTAAGTACAAGTTTAAGGTAGAGTTAACACGCTACAAAAGAGGTACCACTAGGCTGTGTGACTCAATGTGAAGGCAGGAAAACCAACCCTTAGTACTGTGAATTTCAACAAAAACGTTTGGTAAAATTTTTGTTTTGTACAACCATGGAATCTGGGATTTTTAACACATGCAATAGATATATCTCATCATTTCAACTAACTTTCATTCTATGTACTAACGTCACAAGTGAATAATAATGAACCTAATAGAACCTGACCTAACGAACCAAAGAAACGTACCTAACTTTACCTAACTTCCTAGACGGGGGGCTAACCCTCTGCTAGTATTATTTTACTTTCGGACATAGCACCCCCGAAAATTATAAACTACTGAATCATTTAGATCTCGCTATTCTGAGCATTTTGAACCCCCCAGATTTCAGAAGGGCAAACTTTGATAGTTTGAAGAGGCAGTTGAGAGAAGGGGTATCATGCTTGGGGGTGAACTACATGACCTCACATGATGTGACCTACAATGTACCCACAGCGGGCGACCTCACCCTACCCGGAGACCTGACGGTTGAGACTGACCTGATAACAAGATCTGAGGTTGCCGAGTTCCACGACGATCTAAATAATGAGTTACTTAATGCACAAAGGCAGAACATACCATACAAAAATACTTAGATCAAACAACATTGACCCTAAATGGATAAATAATTATTTAAAGAACATTATTGGTCAAAGGAAGGCTATAGGTAGGAGGCTAAATTGTGGCGAAGTTTACCTCCGAGATTATTATAAGGTATTGGCTGGTAGGGTTAAGCCCTAGATAAGAAAAGCAAAGAGGAATAATGAGCTGAGGATACCAAGGGAGGCAAAGTCAAACCCCAAGGGATTCTATCAAATGTATCAAACTAAAACACGAGAAAAGATTGAACCAATATAGTCAGATACCGGCGAGCTAACTGATAACGACGGAGAAATGAGCAATAATCTGAATAAATAGTTTTCAACAGTTTTCACCACTGAAAATTTAAACATGATACCCGAGGCACTGACGCTATACAGAGATAGTGAAGAAAACAAATTAAGCGAGATAGTAGTGACTAGTAACGATGTTAGTAAGCAAATAGCCAAACTAAAGCCTAATAAGTCACCTGGTCCCGATGAGATATTTTCCAGAGTATTAAAGGAATGTTAGGAAGAGCTTAGTATGCCCTTAGCAAAGATGTCTAACCTGTCCTTAAAAACAGGTGTAGTACCAGAATCCTGGAGGATAGCGAATGTAATACCGATTTTCAAGAAGGGAGATATGTAGATGACTATCCTCTAACTACCGTCCAATCAGCCTAACATCAATTGTAGGCAAATTACTGGGAGCAATCATTTCAAACTATTCGAAACCACCTGGAGAAGCACAAGTTGATCAATGATTCCCAGCATGGCTTCACAAGCGGGCGTTCATGTCTAACTAATCTATTAACATTCTTTTCATCAGTTTTCGAATCAGTGGACAAGGGGCACAATTATGATGTGGTATATCTTGACTTTAGCAAAGCCTTCGACAGAGTCCCCCACAAAAGACTAATAAGAAAAGTAGAGGCTCATGGCATTAATGGTGATACAGTATTCTAAAATGTATTAGGGCGTGGTTACAGGACAGGAAACAGCGAGTGAGCATTAACGGCACTAAGTCCCATTGGAGCAACGTCACAAGTGGGGTTCCCCAAGGCTCGGTACTTGGACCATTATTATTTATTATATACATAAACGACATAGATATCGGCATAGACAGCAACATAAGTAAATTTGCTGATGACACTTGTTACGAGTTGGGGATTTAGAATACAGTAGAAGTCCAAAAATCCGGACTGCTTGGGGATTGGGTCGGTCCGGATTTTCGGATTTTCCGGATTCTCAGGCAGTACTTTTAAAATTAAAATTTAAGGAGGAATAAAGAAGAGATGAACAGGTACATTTTGATAGTTTATTCATTATCAAATAAAGCATACTTCATTTATCAAAACGAGCAGTTTTAAAGAAAAATAAAGTCAACACTAGACAAAAATGTAAACAAACTGTCTAATACCATGACGAGTCTTGAAATTCCTAAGCCATCCATCACTAAATGCGCACTCTGATTCAATGTTCATTTGCTCCTTAAAAGATTTTGCTTTGGAAATAAGCATCGGCCCAGAAATTGCCATACCTTCTGATCGTTTTAACAAAAACCATTCGCGCAACACTTTATCAAGATTTTCTAATTTGGGCCTATGTAAACTTTTTCTTTCAGCAATTTTAATGTAAGGCTCAGAAGAAGCTGTGAATTCTAGAATTTTATTCTTTGCCTTTTTTATATCATAAATTGTAGACTTTCCAATGTTGTATGTTTCCATTAGAACAGCATTGCTCACATTACATTCTAGTTTCTTAATTATTTCAAGTTTGTCACTCAATTTCAATGTGTTCTTCTTTTTCTTCACACAACGAAGTTTATCTACTTTAGGGGCCATTATTATGGGCTTGTACTCTGTACATGGAAAGAGTAGGACTCAAAATTACATACGTTGTCACAGTTTGATTGCTTGTTTTAAAGTGGCGATCGTGTGGTCGTTTGTTGTCGCTGTGCAGCTGTGGCATTCACGCATGCACACATACACACAAAAGATTTATAGTGCCTCAAATTTTACATTTCAGTTCAAGCTAATTACAAAACTAACAAAATTAGCTACCTATAATTTACAATTAATTTTATTATTAGAATTATGTAAATTAATTTTTTAAAGCAACTCCATTCATTCACGTAACCCACAAAAGCCCGCTAAATTTAAAAAGTTTGGGTTTTTGAAAAGTCCGGATTCTCGGGTGGTCCGGATTCCTGGCATCCGGATTTTTGGACTTTTACTGTATAGTTAAAAGTCTACCCAGATCCCAACAGGCAACAACAATAAAAAAACAAAAACAATCGGACTGTAAAAGGGTAGACAAAGGATGCGAGTTTTTGTTGTGTATAATAAAGTACCATAAATTCCTTAACAAAATATTCAGCTTTCTATAATTTACCCTTAACCATACTTAACCTAAACATTAACAGTATATACATATTTATACAACATACAATAATTTGAAGCAAGGTGGAGGTGGGGAGGCAATATAAGATTACAAATACTTAAGTGCGGAGCTGAGATGGCTGACGAGTAAGGCTGAGTATTGTAGAAGACGGTAGGTAGTCACTGTGCCGTAGGTTTCCAGGATAGGTGATCCTGTGGTCACTTCCCAGAGTGAACTGAACTCTCATCGAACTGGATCTGATGAGGAAGACTTGGAGGAGGTGACGCAACAACCAGGATATGGAGAAGGGAAACCCCGGAGTGGTAACTAAGACTGGTCATACTCGGGTTTCGTCCCTAGATGGCGTTGCTCGTGGTGCTGGGTAGGTAGATCAGGACAATAGATGGCGTGGTTCGTAGTGCTGGGTAGGTAGATCATGACAATTGATGGCGTGGTTCGTGACACACTAAAATAGGACGTGTAATTAAATCTGACGAGGACTCCGCAAAACTACAGGAAGATCTAAAAAAAAATTTTGAATGGTCTGAAAAATGGCAGATGAAATTCAATGTGGACAAATGTAAAGTACTCAGTACAGTATAGGAGATGTAAACAGGGAAACCAGATACCAGGTGAACAACTATGTTATTGAGAAATTCGACTGCGAGAGAGTTTTAGGTGTAATGATAAATAGGAATCTTAAGCCAAGTAAACAATGTGTATTTGCTCGAAACAAGGCTAATAGAGTACTTGGGTTCATACAAAGGAGTGTTAGTTACAAGACTAGCGAGGTCATCTTAAAACTGTATCTTGCGCTTGTGAGACCTCACTTGGATTACGCAGTTCAATTCTGGTCACCGTATTACAGAATGGATATAGAATCCTTGGAAGGAATTCAGAGGAGAATGACAAGACTAATCCCGGGCATTAGGAACCTTGAGTACAGAGACAGGTTAAAGCATCTTAATTTGCACTCCTTCGAGAGACGTAGAGCGAGGGGCGACATGATAGAGGTGTATAAATGGAAGTCAGGGCTAAACAAAGGGGACATTACAAAGGTACTCAAACTATCCAACCAGGAGCGAACTCGTAACAATGGTTTTAAATTAGACAAATTTAGATTTAGGCGCAAAATAGGTAAACATTGGTTTGGAAATAGAGTAGTGGACGAGTGGAACAAGTTACCAAATATCATCATTAACTCGAACACACTGGATAGCTTCAAACATAGGTTGGATGCTTATATGAGCAATAGGGGTTGGGTGTAAATGGGACTACCCAGAATGGGCCAATAGGCCCACTGCAGTTTTCTCCATTCTTATTTTCTTATGTTCTTATATACATGGCGAAAATGGATAATAGGGACACAATTCAATTTAATTGATTTTAAGTAGTTTTCAGTCTTCATCTGTGAGGAAATGTTATCTGTTCTTCACGCAAGCACAGTGTTGACTGATGTCATCCAGTCGTGACCAATGAAGTATCGATATCACGCAAATTTTTTTCGAGCAATCACATTTGATTTTTTTCAAAGGAAACAGCCAGGGTAATTTCATTGACTAGTCTCACAATGGCCGTGGTGGTGGTTGGTTGTCATTTGTGCTTATACAATTATTTTAAGTTTATTGCCGAGTCTTATGAGAAAGACAATCATTCTATCATAAGAACATAAGAAAATATGGAGTCTGCAATAGGCCGGTTGGCCTGTGCATGGCAGCTCCTGTTGAGAGTTACTACCACTCTATCATCCATGAATCCATCTAGCCTCTTTTTAAAACTTTCCAGCATTCCAGCACTTACTACAAAGTTGCTAAGCTTGTTCCACTCGTCCACCACCCTATTTGTGAACCAGTTCCTTCCTCTCTCCCTCCTGAACCTAAACTTATCCAACTTAAATCCATTGCTACGAGTTCATTCCTGCTCAGATATTATAAGAACTTTATCTATAGCTCCTTTATTGATTCCTTCCACCCACTTAAATACTTCTATCATATCTCCCTGCACTCTTCGTCTTTCTAGGGAATGCAAGTTTAGTTTCTTTAACCTATCCTGATATGGAAGGTTTCTAACTCCTGGAATCATTTTCGTCATTCTTTGCTGCACAGACTCTAGTGAATTGATATCCATTCTATAATAAGGGCACCAGAACTGAACAGCATAATCGAGGTGCAGCCTGACTAGCGCAAGATATAGTTGCATTGCAATAAGACCTTTGCACTCTTATTACTTACACTTCTAGATATAAAACCTAATACGTACTCTGTTTGCCTTATTTCGAACATTAACGCATTGTTTTCTTGGCCGTAGGTCAGGGCTTACAAGTACCCCTAAGTCTCTTTCACAAGTCGACTTTTCTAGGTTGATGTTGTTAAGGCTGTATCCCTGATCGTATCCCTGATCCTTCCACTTCTAATTAAGGTATTGTACTTTCGTACATGGCGCGCCCCAAAGTTTTAATTACTGAAACTTTTAGGTTAGTTTAAGCGAGGCCTACCGGGCGTCTGGGGGTGGAGCCCCCGGCTAGGGGTCAGGTTAGGCCTACCGGGGTTCCGGGGGCAGAGCTCCCGTCTAGGGGTTAGGTTGATATTAATATATGAATAGCAATTTTTTTATTTTGTTTTAAGTGGTTATTTGACCTTAATTTTAACAAATTAAGAGTAAATATGTCTGCTCTCTCGCTCTCTAAATAAGAAGAGCATGAATATTGGGTGACACATAATCAAGTTGTTACGTTACTCATACTGGTCATGTTTCCGCATGGTCATGACTTTTTAAACAAATCTATCCAGAGTATCATTAACATAAAATAATATAACTAATTGTTTATGTGTTGGCCAATATTCTCACTCTTTGTTCTTTTATATCCTTATTACTTATGTATTTCATTCTTGATGACATGTCAGGAGAAGAAATTCCTGACGATGTCACGGAGTGTAGAACAAGTTCGTTATACAGTACAGGAAGAAGTACCAGAGAGGAGCCCCGAATGATATACTTTATACTAACTGATTTGTTTACAAAAAGCTGGAGCTGGAAAAATCAATCTGTTTTTATGCATGTCTATATTTTGTTGACTTATGACAGAAACTTAAGAAAACCTATAAATGGAAAGTTGCAATTCCTCCAACCTATTTTTGGGTATTCAAGAAATAAAAAGCAAGTTTTTTCTTCAGAATGTTTTCCTAAAGTTCCTCATTGTCATTAGTGCTGTTGTAAACTATGACCATAAATTAAGAGTGAGCTAGAGTGACTTTGGACAGCCATTAATTTTACATGTTAAAGTGGGTTCAACTACATTGTGACAGGTCCAGATACCTTTGGGGTCACTTTGGACACCAGGGAATTGACAAAAATATATAGGTATTGACATACCTGTAACAAAAATATATACAGTACTGTATTGTATGAAACAAAGATGGACCATTGATTTATGAACAATATGCAGGTAAATAAAAATATATTTCTCAATGGATTATTACTTGATACAGTACTAGTACTTGTACAGTGTATGATTATTTTGTTTTCTCTATTAACTTCTTGGATACACAAGTACAGTAATATCTCCGTTAGCCGGGATCCCTCAAACCTGGAACTGTCCGATAGCCGGAATTGAAATGTTCTCAGAAAATCGTTCCCATAGCTGGAATTTTCCAGAAAATTACGGCTTTGGGAACGATTTCCCGAAAAATTATGAAAAAAATTCTTGGCACCTGGGTTTGAGAGATGGAAATCGGGCACATTTTCTGGAAATTCAGATAAAATTTTCCGTTACAGTACCTGGAAAATTCCGGGAATGGGGGATTTTTTCCGGGTTCGAGAGATGATGTAATGGGCAATTTCTGGAACTTCTGAGAAAAATTTTCCGTTACCCGGAAATTTCCGGGGATGAGGGATATTTTTCCGGGTTCGAGAAATGATGTCATGGGCAATTACTGGAACTAACGAGAAAATTTTTCCATTACCCGGAAAATTCCGGGGATGAGGGATATTTTTTCCGGGTTTGAGCAAGTCGTCTTGTTACCCAGAAATCGCTCATTCCTGAAAGTGCTCTGCACCAATTGTTCGGGCTAACAGAGATATCACTTACAGTACTCTAGTGTATTTCTTACCTTTTTTCAGTTTGTCTGCTTTTATGTTCTAGGCATTTATTTATTTTATTGATTATTAATTTTTTTATTTATTCACCTTAACAAGTTTGCCATTCAATTTAGCCATGTGTCAAAAATCACCCCATGACGACTAAAAGATAAGAGATGGGCTTAATGAAACTGCTATTCAGAAAAAGTTCATGATTTTCATATTGTGGATGCTGCACAGTACAGTTCTGAAAAAGATATTGGTACCAGTAAATTTCTATTACAGAATTAAAATTTTTCTGGGTGAAGAAAAATTTTGGTTGTAACGAATTTTATGGTTTTTATCTAACAAACATGATTTCTTTTTTCTTTTTTCCCACTTATAATTACGTCAGCTTCCAAAAATTTTGAATTTATATACTTTCACGTTTCCTCTTTATGGTCACAAAATTTGTTTTCCCACAATTGTATTCGTAATGTCATGAAGAGTGAACATTCAGTTTTACCGCAAATGTGTCCAAAAACATCCTATTTTATGGTTACTGTACCTTAAAGGGGTAATGACATCAGAGGTTAGTTATTATGGCCATATATTAATGTTCAGGCAACTTATGGTTAATTTCCACTGGACGCCTGGATGGGGGAATATGAAAGAATCATAAAGACATTCAGATTTCACCACAGACTCTTGATTTAAACTATCAAAGTTCACTATGCATAGGAGGGTCATCCTTGTCTCTAAAATCAAATATATATGACATCAGTTTCTTCCTGCATGGGGCGCAGCACATGAGTGGATGAAGTACTTCTTGACTCAGCCATGGTTCAGCTATTACTAATGTACAAAGTCTGGGAAATTTGAATTAGGCCCAGGAGAAATATATCACAACTGTTGTGGGATAGCTATATCAGCAAAGGGTTAAAAGAAGTGCATGATACCACAGCCTCTATGATAAAGCGAGTTTTAGGGACAAAAATTTTAAATTAATTACAATATTATGTACAATACTCCCAGTTCTGACTACAAGTGTATTCAAACAATAAGTGTTTATAAAACAAAACAAAATCCCAGAAACTGGGTGCTGCTATTTTTTTATTTTTTAATAAGAGTTGTAAACTCTTGAAATAACCTTCCTAGTGAATTTTCCCAAAACCTTTCCTCTACATGGAATACAGTACAGTACTGTAGTTGATTACTGTCTAGGACTCAAGGTAATTAAATTTTTCCTAATATTTATGTTAAAAATCACCAAACAGTGTTTTTGGTGGGAGAATAGAATGAGAATCATGTCATACTGTACACCAAACTGTTACTGCTATCATTATGCATATTTAATGCAATTCTAAGTCATTTCAAATTGATTTTCTAATGTCCACCACTTTATACAATGAGAAACTGTTTGATATATGGCTCTGGAAACTACATCCTGCCATTAATTTGTCCTTCATCTTAGATATAACCAAATTTTACTGTCTAAACACTGATAAGGCACACCGAGAGCAGCGTCGAGCTGAGGCGTGCCGGCGTGGTGGACGGCTGGAAGAAGCAGCAGAGTGTCATGGTCGGGCAGCCGAGTTGCTGACTGCAGCTCTTACGTTGACAACTACCCCTCTGGCGAGGCAGAGTATAACACTACAACACAGTTATCACATCCGTCAACAGGAACTGCTGAGGTTAGTAATGTACTTACAGTTATTTAGATCTGATATGCTTGTCACTGTTCCATTGCACAGAACCTAAGTTTACCAGAAGTCACTTATACTGTACTTGCACTCAACCCAAGTGGTTTTGTTACTCTATATTGTATAACCTCCGGTAGAACAAAACATCCTGCCTTAAATATCTTCAACCATTGACAAGGAGACACTTTGGTGAATTGATTAAACTGAGACACCTGTTTGATCTCTTCCACTGCCAGTTATTTAAATAAAAATTGCCACCCCTATCTTGTACAGTATGATAATCAATTGATCATCAGTCTCTGCGTGTTATATCTTTTGCAAATACGGTAGACCTCTTCATCTCTCGAGGGAATCTTCATAAAAACTCACTGGAAAAGGGAAACAATGGAGCACCTTAGCATTCGTTTTTATTCAAAACATCTTGCCTCCAAAGATGTCTTGAACAAAGACAAAAGCTAAGGTGCTCCAGTGTTTTCTTTTTCCCTGTGAGTTTTTATGAAGATTTATATTCTCCGTATTACCATTGTGAATCTCCAAGAGAAAATTTATGGTACAGTAGGGTCGGGATATATTGCGAGATAGGGTCCAACGATGTTCGCTATACAGGTATACTAAATCGCGATATATAATTACATGTAACCAATGGGAAAAATAGGGTTAGGTTCTGGATGCCAAAAAAAGTGACTAAACTTGACTTAACAAGTTCATTTTCTTACTAAATAAAGCACCAATGAACACTAGACTCGGGAACAACAGACTATTTCAATATCAATATCAAGGAACACTAGACTCGGCAGCTGACACACCATCCCGGGAACACCAGACTCGGCAGCAGACGCCACACTGCCTCCCTCACTTGACAATCCCACACCTACATAAACAAACACCAAAAATATTAGTTACAGTATTAAATCTTTTCCATTAAGCTTTACATTATCTTCACTTCACTTTTCACGTCACTAGCAACCCATTTACACTCGCTTTAGAAATTTGAACTTGCACCAAACTCGGCAGCTGATGGGCCATCCCAAGAACAACAGACGACACACTGCCACCTTCCTTTAACAATCACAAACGAACAAACCAAAAATATTACTTACAGTATTAAATAATTTCCATTAAGCTTTCCATTATCCTCACTCTACTTTTCACGTCACTGGCAACCCATTTGCACTCACCTTAGAAGTCGTAATCTGCAGCAGAGTAGGCTGCTTTCTCGTCACTCACTCAGAAAGACTGAGCGGGCGAGTGTGAATGTGTGAGTGAGCAACCATGGTGGCGCCTCTGGTGAGCAAAAACGCATTTGTTTGCCATGGCAGTACATTTGCATTTTCTGCCCGATTTCCCTCGCAAAATAAAAAAATTATCGCCATATATGGGAAAATTTTGGTAAATTTGGTAGCCGTGATAAAGAATTTTTTTTATATAAAGTCGCAATATATCCTGACCCTACTTCTAGATGGGCAGATGAGTGTTTATGGATAAATTGTAATGGTATCATATGTGGTGTTACAGATATGCAGAGTTCAGTTATACAGACCTTTGGATATGAGGAATTTAACTGTATATTTTGAGTGTTCTTATACAGGGGGTCCCCGAGTTAAGAATGTCCGACTTACGAACACCCGCCAATACGAATGAGGTCCCATCAGGTCAATTATTTTATCAATCCAATATAGGTACACGTGGTTCGTAGTACAATAATACCCCGCTTTACGCGTCAGTTGCATCCCTCCAGGTCACACTGTGTAAACCAGTATCTATTGTTCTGTAAAATGGCTTCCGCCGGACCACCGCCCCCAGAGAAAAACCTTGCATTACCTGGACCCAGCCGCCCTAAGCCAAAGAAGATACGACGTTCCCTAAGCTACGAAGTGAAATACAAGATTATTCAAGAGTTGGAGAAAGGAACACGTCAAGCTGATCTCGCGAGCCAGCATGGAGTCAACGAATCTACGATTCGTACTATTAAGAAGGATGCAGCCAAGATCAAAGAACACATGAGAATCACAAAGTCTGCAGGTGCTTCAGTGATCAAGTATTGCCAGAACAAGGTGCTGCTAAAGGTTGAAAATTTGCTGGTGAGTTACTTGATTCGTCAGGCGCGACGCAACATGGTTGTAGACACGCGATCCGTTCAAGAGTACGCCCGTGAACTGTACGCAGCAGTGTTACGTAAGATGGGAATTGCAGAGCCCAAACCCTTCAATGCTTCCTCTGGTTGGCTGCATAGGTTTAAGAAGAGGAACAAGATCACCAACATTACCATTGGTGGTGAAGAAGCGAGTGCTGACCGTGTGGTGGCTAGAGATTTTCCTCCATTCTTACGTGAGGTTATGGAGGAAGGACAGTACACCGACGACCAGGTGTTCAACATGGACGAATCCGGTCTATTTTGGAAAAAGCTACCTACCAAGACCTTCGTTGTCCAGTCTGCCGGCAAGATTCGGGGCCGGAAGTTGCAGAAGGAGAGCATCACCGTCCTCTTTACCACCAATGCCTCCAGTACCTGTAAACCCAAGTTATCGGTGATCCACACTGCCCGCAAGCCGCATGCCTACAAGAACGTGGACATGAGCAAGATTAATGTCCACTGGCTGACCGCACATAAGGTGTGGATGTTCTCTGCTCTGTCACTCTCCTGGTTTGATGACTGTTTCGTTCCCAACGTGATGAAATTCTGCGAGCAACAGAATTTTCCCTTCAGCATTCTGTCGCTCCTTGACAATGCACCAGGACACTCGCCACTACTTGTGGATCATCACCCCAACATAAAAGTGGTCTTCTTTCCTCCCAACACTACGTCATTAATCCAGCCCATGGACCAGGAGTTGATATGCAATTTGAAAGCTGCATACTCTGCAAAGAAGTTTAAGCTCCTGAATGACTGTACCATCACCAAGGATGAGTTGCGTAAGCTGGGTGACACCGATAGCGAGAGCAAAAGCGACGAGGACAAGGAACAAGAGGTGGTGAATCAAGAAGTTCTCGTCAAACAGTTTTGGAAAAAATTTAACGTCAAACAAGCTGTGGACTTCTTGGTGGAGGCATGGGACCAGCTGTCTGTAGCTACGATTCGTCACGCATGGAGGCATGTGTTGCATGGTATCCCAGGTGAGAGGCGGAGTCAACCTGTGACTGGTGAGGTTCAGTCTGTTACAGTGGCATTGGACCTTGCAAGAGAAGCTGCGCACAGTATTACAGCTGAAGGCTTCTCCGAGACCACCAACAAAGACATCCTGGAGGTGATCAGAGATCCTGAAATGACTGCCGACGAGATGTTGGAAGATGATCACGTCAGTCAAGAGGCAGGTGGTGCGTCAACCCCCAGAAGAACACAAGTTAACGCATAGTACAGTAATGTTAAGGGTGCCATCGAGTGTGCAGAGAAACTGAAGCTCTTCCTTTCCAACGACCATGATGATGACCGCTATGAAGTCTTCCAAACCCGGCTGGTGCAGGCTATGGAGCCGTACATCAAGGTGTATTAAGACAACTTCAACACTACCCGTCAAAAAAGCATTACCGAGTTCTTCGCCCGCAACCCACCACAGCCAGCCCGAGCCAGTGATAGTGACAGTAACAGTGAAGGTGACTTTGAGGGATTTGTCAGGGATGCCCTGACAATTATGGTGGATAGTGATGGTGATTCACCTGAGGGCCAGTAATCTGCCCTCTGCCTCGGAACCAGCCTCCATCCCTGTTTGCCGACCCATCTCTTCTACTAACGTAAGTGTTAAACCTAACCGTTATTTTTCCAAATCTGACCTTAATTTTCCTAACCTAACCTAATCTTACGTAAGTGTTAAACCTTTATTTTTCCTAACCTAACCTAATCTTACATAGGTGTTAAACCTTGATTTTTCCTCACCTAACCTTAGGTAAGTGTTAAACCTTTATTTTTTCTAACCTAACGTGTTACCCCTTGATTTTTCTTTTACCTGGTACAGTATATTATTCTATTATTGATATTTCTCTTCTATATTTTGTGTGTGCATACCATCATAAAGTTAAGATAATATTTTTACTACAACGTAGTTTTGTGTCGTCAAAAAGTGGAGTTTGGGGGTCGGGCCAGTCTCTATTGGAATTAATCCCATATGTTCTGTTGTTCACTTTACACGGTTTTCGTTTTACGCGGTACCCCGTGGGTTCAATTGACAGCGTAAATCGGGGTATCACTGTACTGTATTAACGTACGAAAACTAGTTTGCATGGCGTAGCAGCGAGGCGGAGCGGCAGGTGGGGAGGAATGCATAACCCAAGCCATGCGCTTTGAGGGAGCGTCAGCACACCTTACCCTCACCTCAGTAGCATGTGTGATCAAGTGCAAACTGTTGTTGTTTGCTTATTAACTCTAGTTTTCTGCCCTCATCATGGCTCTCAAATGCAAACGTGATACAAGTGATAGTAGTACATCCAAGAAAAGGAAAACAATTACAATGGAAGTGAAAGTTGGTATAATTAAATGTCCTGAAATAGGTGAAACATCCTCAGTCATTGGTAAAGCGTTGGGCTTCAGTCGGTCAACTATCACACATGTAAAAGGATCTACACCAATGCACTCAACTGTGATAACAAAACAAAGAAGTGGACTGTTAATTGAAATGGAATTATTGTTAGTGATATGGGTGGAAGATCAGCCAGCCCAAGGTTTCAGTGTAAGTGTTAAACTTAAATTTTTACTTTCCTTTACTGTATTATGTCATTCAATTTCTTCTTTTCTCTTAAATTAAGTGATTCGAGATGTATAAAAGGATTTAGCTATGATATAGTGCACATAGGGTATGTGTTCCAACTTACGTACATTTCCGACTTAAGAACGTCCTGAGGAACGGAACTCGTTCGTAACCCGGGGACCCCCTGTATGTACTTTTCTATATTATCAATTTTAATGAAATCATTTAACCCAAAGGAATATGACTGGTTCCAGGTTCCGCAGCAAGCAACTTGAGAAATATGTAAAGGCAATGGAGAACCAGCGAGTGAAGATGGGGAGTGCCAGTGGCAGTAGTGGTGGAGGTTCAGGGTCTGGGAGTCGGGAGCTTGCCTCCACATACTTGCATGTTAGCAGAAAGGCTCAGGCTCTGTCAGTAGAGATCACAAAGTAAGTAAAAGCTGTATTTTTTTAATTCCTATCTGGAAAAAATATTTTTTCCAGATACCTATCTGGAAAAAAAAACATATTATATTTATACATGTACAGTATTTTTTTGGAACTTCTTTGAATACGCATCATTAGTATACAGTGGTCCCTCGGTTAACGAACTCAATTCGTTCCAGAGGGTCGTTCGTTAACCGAAACCATTGTTTCAATGGGATATTGGGTAATTGGTTCCAGTTGAAGTTACGTAAATCCTGAGGAGTGTGTATAACTTTAATGTCCTCGCCATAATCAATCACATACTTTTCAAAGTCTTTCCCTGCCCTCTCTAAAAAACGCTCTTCTCACTCTGAACGGGATGTGACCACCTTTACTTCCTGAACACACAGCCAGATACGTAGCTCCCAGCCTGTAAGGACTTTCAAACATATTTCTAGTCTACCTAGGGGGTTACATCCAACGCCAACATGTAGAGGAAGGGAGAAAATAGTGATATCCGTCAAAAAACGCATTTTGCCCAGGGTGGCGCTTTACCCCCTTGTAATGCTGAGTGCCTCATATCATCATGCCAGATATTATAACAAAATTGAGTAAAAATACTCTTATTTCATCTGAAGAATAAGGTAATCAGTTACAAAAGAAACAAGACTAGAGCTGATGAGAGACATTTGCATGAAAAAATTAGTCAGTGGTGTTGATGTAAGTTGTCAGATACTTTCAGCATATCAGAATGCAAATTAGATATATCAGTTTTATACATTTTAGCTTATTAATGGTACACCCAAAAGAGAACATTTGCGTATACCAATATTATTATCTTAAACTAATTCGAAATTTGACCTATATTATGATAATATGGTAAGAAAAACCATTATTTGGTCTTCATTATATTAGGTGTGAAGGTACAGGTATCCCCTATTTATGGTGGGATTACCTTCCTGAAAAACCCATCACAGGTTGAAATAGCATAAATTGGGATCATTATAACATGGGGTTCAATGGGATTCGTTCCCAGCCAGTCCAACACCCACATGAATCACCGAAAAACACATTTAAACAACACTCACCACATCATTAAGAACAAACCTGGTCATCATCACATGTACCCTTCAAAGCTAAGGGGCCTCTTGAAGGGTGGAGTGGAGACATCACTGTGACTCCCACACAGGTTAACAATGTCAAGCTTCACCTCCAGTGACACAGTTTTCCTGGGCACCTTGGCCTTCCTAGACATTTTCAAAGTTTCACTGTTCACTTCACAGTTACAAAAACAGAGCAAAAGCACTTGTTACAAAAAGTGAGAGAACGATGATAACGTAAAAACAATGATGACGGCTGACACTGCTCACATCATGTTCACAACAACAGAGGCACTTTACAGTCACAAAAAACAGCAAAATTCACTTTACAGTCACCAGAGTACAATTTAAATGTTATTGTTGTCCTCTCACTGTAAGGTTAAAAAAATGTTAAGTACCAACACTGATATTGCCCTATAACCATTGAGCTACACGATCATGGGCATGTGCGATCACCATGGAACAAAGTGTGGGACTGTAGTGCACCAGGTGGCCACGTAGCAGCGCGTGGGTAGACTGCAGCTGATAAGTGCACTGAGAGATGCGTTCCATTTACCGCATTGACCACATGATGACCATCGTTCGTGAAAATTTTTTGTTCGTAAATAGGGGGTGGTCTTAATACATCACTATTGTACAAGTGGAATATCATAGGTAAGAGATCATAAATCGGGGGATACTTGTACAATGTCAGCTGTCATGCCTGCCTTGAGCGACAGATTCAGATATACCAGATAAATTTCTCAGAATTATTATTGAAAAAAGATAAATGTATTTTATGCTCTCCTTACAAGGATATTTCAGTAACATTTAAAAAATCAGCAAAAATAACTGCCAGGAACTGCATCCAGAGAACCTGTCAGATCCAAGTTCTCCAACTGCCACTGTCTAGACTGGCATTAAAAGTTCCAGCCAGATGATAGAGATGACAGACACTCACTTTGTAGAAAATTTATGTTTTCTATAGGATTTTGATGTAATATGTTCGGTGGTAAAGTTCTTAATGAACACAAAAATAAGGAAATTAGTACAGGGACTACAATAGCTAACAACAACAATAATGATAGAAAAGAAATTTTTTTTCATGTTGCATTAGGTTACATTACATTAGGTGAGCAACTGATATTTTCATATTAAATTTGACTACGTTTGGGATTGTTTGGAAGTTATTGTTCATGTTAGGTTTGATTTGGTTTACTCTTTTGTACAAGAAATAATTACATATTTATCTCAATGAAACAAAAACCAAGCCTCCCCTAATATAATCTAGCCTAGCCTAACTCAGCATGAAAATAATTTGTTCACATATTGTAGCCTATTACTGCTGTCATTAAGCTTTACTATTATATGTATCACTTCAACAACTTGTAGAAAACATTTGACATAGATAGCAGTCGTGCATTTCGGGGCCTGCACATCCCATCAGTCTCAATCACGCCTGCTAGACAAGTGCGTAACCATCGGCACTCATTACGTTGGGCCAGGCTGGGATGACGGGGTGGGCAATCACAAGCCAAAACAAGAAAAATGGGGTGGGGTCAGGTGTATTAACATAACCATAATGAACAGAATATAGAAGGGTTGTAGAACATCAAATGCCAGTTTGTTTTTATTAATTCATTATAATATTCTGGTATGATCAGCCTCTTATGGTATATGCTTCATTATAAATAATATAACATACAGTATTAAATGATAGGAAAAAATATGATATATAATCTGTAATTTGACTTAAAAATTAAGAAGAAATGTAAGAGGAAATACACATCACCTACATTTATTGCACATTAAAAATACAAATTCAAGGGTCAGGGGGCTAATGAGTTTCTGCTGTCTCCCCAAATTGTCTTTCAAGAGTTTACTGTAGTTAAGCGGAGAAATGTCCACCGTGAGCAGATTTTTATTTTTTTTATTAATTATTTTATTTTATTTATTTTTTTTAGTACAGTCAGCGCTTAACATACGGGGTTAGGTAACAGATATACCCGTGAATGTTAAAAATCCGTGTACTTTGCTGCCCCCCCAATAAAAAAACCCTGGCCCCCCATGTCCTTATTTATCGTATATACCTGTGTGTAGTTCGAGTTTTTAAGACCAAATTATTTGGCAAAAAATTAAGGGTCGACCTCCAAACGGGTAATAGTTTCTTTAGGTTGAAAAATATTTGCCAGTAACTACAGTACCAGCAAACAATGGAAACGATGCACCAACGCACCATCAGCTGTGAGTGTCGGTACAGTTGCCAGGGCAGATCTCTTGCGTCATCATAGCAAGCCCAAAGTAGCCAAACGCATGGTATGGTATGCACAGGACGATGTAAAACAAAGTACAGTCGGCCCTTAACATACGTGGGTTTATAATACACGGATTTGCAAATACGCGGATTGCCCCGCCGGAGGAATATTCTGTACATTGAAGTTATTGAAGTACATTCAAATCGCGCGCGGCACCAAACACGGGACACCGCCCGCTCCCGCAACCTCACACGCATAGCTCTCCCTCACTCAGTCAGTCTCGCTGTAAACACGCTTGTGTTGACATCAGCATTTTAGTTGCAAAAATATTACATTTCCATGAATGTATTATATCAAGCACAGTATGAATAGAATATCACTTATATAAGAGTATTTTAACCGAAAACTACTAAAAAAAACGAGTAACATATCTTGAACATCGGAAGGTTAGGTAAAGCCTTTTGTTTTCATGTAGTTTATCCTAATTTACATTGAAATACATTATGTTTCAGCAAAACTACTATTTATTTCTGAGAATATGGAAATGTAATATTTCTGCTGAAATGACGTACGTATTACAGTGGAAAATGACGAAAGCAGTGACTTTCGCTTTCTTTCATTCAAAACATGTTACCGTAATCGCTTTTCGAATGGTTTTCAGTTAAAAAAATGTTTATTACAATAATATTCTATCCTAATTCACTTGTGATGCAACATTTTTTTTAACTGAAAACCATTCGAAAAGCGATTACGGTAACATCTTTTGAACGAAAGAAAGTGAACGTCATTGTTTTCGTCACTTTCCACTGTAATACGTACGTCATTTCAGCAAAAATATTACATTTCCGTGAATGTAGTATATCAAGCACAGTATGAATATAATATCATTGTAATATAACAGTATTTTAACCGAAAACTATTAAAAAAACGAGTAACATCTCTTGAACATTGGAAGGTTAGGTAAAGTCTTTTGTTTTCGTCATGTATTTTATCCTATTTTACATTGAAATACATCACGTTTCAGCAAAACTACTATTTATCTCTGAGAATATATTCATTCAGGCACAGTTTAGGTAAAATATACATGTGCTGTAACATTTTTTTAATTGAAAACGATTTGAAAAACACGTACCCTCTAGCCCTGTTCAAGGAGAAGACTGGGAGGAGCTGTTTGGTGCTTAAGACGATGACAAGGAAAATGATTTTGATGGATTTTAATGAAAATATTCAGAAAGACCCTGGCACTGTCAAGGAAAGTGGCTGCTGAAGGCTTCCGGGATATGGCAGAGGACGAGATTAGGGAGCTAATTGAAGCGCACGACACTGAGCTGACCGAGGAGGATCTACAGGAGTTAGTAGACTCAGGCAAGGAAGAGGAAGCGAAAGGGAAAGAGGATGAGGAAGAGCACCAAGAAATAACGTTGGAGAAGTTGGGGAAGATGACCAGGAATATTGAGGCACTGAAAAACCTGGCCTATAGTATGGACCCCTCCATGGTGCGTGCCCTGAAATTCATGCGAGGGATGGATGACGTTTTCGCTCCATACAAAAACATCATGGAAATGAAAGAAAGAGACGACAACTCCCCATCACCATGTTCTTCGATCACCGAAGGAGAGATTTAACACCATCAATCACTGGCGGCAGTGAGGAAGCAGCTGAATCCACAGTCGCCCCCACTTCACCACCC